TCTTGTCTAATGTGTACCCTCTAGTTTATTCCCAACAAGATGAGCCTAGTTTGTTGCGCTTAGTATAAACTATAATTTGGTCATTGTAATTTGGGATCTTATCATTTGGCTTCATCGACTTTGACATTTGACTTCAAAATGATGTCGAGAGCGCGTTAAAATTGCTCACAACACGCCAATTCAAAAAGCTCCCTTTTCCATTTCTACCCAATTCATTTCTGTATAGTTGACCACACTTTGTTCTGGGGAATTAGGCAACGGTAAAATTGGTTATCGGGGCAGAGACCTTCAGAAAGACTAGTTCAGGATCACATGTGGCATTTGGTATGGCGAGTGAATAAAAGTCAGAGATAAGGCCTTCTTTGTTCAAGACCTCGATTCTTTTCAAACGCAGCCAAATAGTATTTTTGTTAGAATGTTTAAAATCGATCCAAAAGAAATATCTTGTGCTAATAAAACTGAAACGCTTTTTTTTCAATAAACCATCTCAGGGAATTTGATCATAAGATTGTGCATCCATCCGTTTCTCGTGCTAATTTTACACATCAATCCAAAGCATTCCAAATAATAAAACAATATTAATGGCATCGATGACATGTGCCATATGTATTCTAGCTTTTAACGTTCACAATATTGTATCAGGAACACAAGTTGGTGCATCGAGATATCAAACCAGGAAAGTAATATTCAGTGGTATTAATGTCGAAGTTCAATTCATTTATAGCATTTTTGTGACCAATGAATACAAGCTGAAGATTGGCGACTTGAGATTGGTAAAAGTAGTGAGAGATGGAACTGTTACGGGGACGTTTATTGGAACACCACGATATATGAGTCCACCTGATATGAAGGAGGATGGGGCACAACGGAATGTTTATGAACAAATAAAGGAGGCGGATGTATTGGTTAGTTTTACATTCTTTTCCATCCAATGATAAGATAAATTGAATACAGAATTCCCATCGAAATGATGTCTACGGTCTGGGGCTTGTTATGTGGGAAATCATCGAAAGGAGGTATTAAGAATTTGCATACTGATCTCATTTGAAATATAGCTTAGATTTCAAAACAACATTTTTATTGTTTTAGAACCATTCTCACAAACTATGAGGTATCTGGAGTGTTTGAGCGTGACTGATTATTGATTGATATTGCACTCCAACGTGTTACTGAAGTCGAATCACCTGAATGTCAATCAGAAATTCAAAAAATCATCTCGAGGTTTGGATTTATGGTTTTTTTATATTCTAAGAATCCAACTATCAGATGTACTAATTTTCAACGTATTCATCGTCCGCCAGCTTCTGAAGTCTTGGATTTCCTCAAACAAACACAGAAAGTGAGCTTTTCTAAAACAAGTAGATTTTCTCGTCTACTATAATATTGGGTTGGAAAGTATGAAATCTTGTCAATTTCCTTTCACTTCTATTGTCTTATTTTACCTTTAAAATAACTAAAACTTTCCTGTTTTTTGTAGAATTCTTAAGGCTACCAAGTATTAAAGTTTAAGAATCTTTTGTGGTAAAATAGCTGAGATTCTTTCAAAATAAACAGGAAAAACTTTAAAATATCTAGCCTTAAAGTTTCAGCAAATCTCGTAGTTCAAACAACGAGAAAAATACTAAAGCGAAAAAAGCGAGTTAGTTTGTAGAAACACCCGGATAATTGAACCAAACATAGCCGACTGAACGCCAGAGAGCGCTCGTTTCGACAGTTTACGCTGAGAGAACACTTATTTTGGAGATGCTTATTCGGAGCTATGGTGATCGTAAGAATTCTACATAAACCGTGAAAATTCTAGTTGTTTCAGAGGTTATTTTAAATGAGTAACTAGGAGTAAATGAGAATTTGCGAAGTTGCATACTTCTCAACCGAATAGTTGAGTAAGTTTCCTTTTTTGAAATTTCAAACTCCTCAAATATAATAACCTAGACAAATCCATTCATCTCTTCACTCCCTTTTATGCCCACGGAAGATAAAAACCAAAAACAACTGATGAAACCAATTGGATTTGATGATAGAACAGAATGGGTTATGGTTGAATCTGAGGAAAGAAAATATGAAAAGATATTCGAAGAGTATAGGTCGAATATCTTCCCTTGCATAATGCGAGATAAACTCGGAACACTAAATTCTGCTGAAAGAGAGAAATTCTACAAAGAAGCCCCAAGTATTGTTTCAAGATTAAAAGAAGAAGCTCAGACATTCAAAGATGCTCGTTATGTGATTGAGGAAATATTGGAGATGCAAGAAAAGAAGGGAAATCTACGTGAAAAGAATATTTATGAAATATTTGAATTGTTTGTTTTGGGAGATTTTCGAGAACAGCTCTGGCAAGAAAACGAAGCCTTTGGAGTTCTTAAGAGTCACGAGGTGATTTGGATATCAAGTTTTGAAAAATGGTGGTGGTGGTGTGAGGACCGAATTGACAGCTTGAAAAGAATAAAAAAAGCAAAATACACAACAAATTTCTATTTTCGATGTTTTATTTCTCAATTGACTGGTGAGGGATGGATTCAGATAGAAAAGGATCAGTTTGTGTGTGAAGATTTAAATTATGGAAAGAAATACCAGGAAAATGAGTAGAAAATCCAAGAATTGAAATCTGGAGCTATGAAATTCAAAATGAAGACAAAAAGCATGAATTGCTTTATTTCTCCCATTACAAACAGATACCTCTTGAAAGAATAATTGAGGCATGTAAAAACCAACAAAAAAGAATGGAAAATACCATAAACTTAAACTTGAAATTTCTGACTCCAATAGAAGAATCGGAGAAGAATAATGTTCCGTTTAATATTGAAGCACTTCTCGATGAATCTTCTGAATATGAAAGACCTTCTAAAAGATCTAAAAGAACAACTTCTAAATTTGAAGCAGAATCTGAATCTTCTTATAAGCCCTATCCCTTTCCGCACCACTTATTCCAATTCAGAAATCCTCCTCGTCCAATTTGTCAAAAGAATCATTCAGGGAAATGTCAAATGGATGGATTTAGAAAGATGAAAGAATGTTCAGATTTACCTAAAGAATTTTACATTCCATTGTGTGGCAAAATCACGGCAAATGAGGTTTTGGTTCTGGAAAGTTTCTTGACTTCTATAAGCTCTAAAAGAGGTCTGACTTTTTGCCTCATGGAACACCCATTTCTATTTCTTTGTTGTCAAAATCTCTTAGATATTCCATTTTTGATTCTCTTGGATCATCCAAATAATTATGAAAATGGGGAAAGTATTCCTGGATTGGATTTAAAGATGAAACTTCATAATATTGATGTTGGAGTATTAAGAAAACACTTTCAAGAGTTAGAGTTCAATAAGAGGGTCTATGCTTTGCTCAAGAGCGACAGAGATTCTCATTCCAACATCCGCCATGAATGGACTGACATTCGCTTGCTTGATTATCAAGGGAATCCAAAAACAGAATGGCTTGAGTTTGAGAAAGCGGCGAAATTACCAATTCCTATAACCTATAACCAATTCACTGGCCAATTCGACAAATATCAATCATCAAAAAACGCAGAGCTGAAAACCTTTGAGCGAGATCCTGTAGAAGGTGATGTAGAGGAATTGCAGCTGGGATCCATGAGGGTTCACTTTTTGCATTATATTTGAAAGATTCAATTTTTAGATTGATTCAAAAACAAGCACGGTAGAAAAAGACCCCAATTTCAAGCAAAGTAAAAAATTTCCGGAAGATGATCCACAGGTTAGGAGTTTTCTTACGCGAAACCTTAGATCATGATATTGTGAATACTTTGATACTCTGAAAAATACTCTTGAAAACCCTTTGCTATAAGGGCTTTGCTTAGATACAAAAATGCTCTGGAAGAAAAACGCAAGGCAATTTTGGGGTGTGAGTGAAGGGGAAGGATAGGGCGAGGACACCCTCCACTTCCATTCGATTCTCTCCGAAAAAAAATGGAGCCCGATAGCTGCTTGGGTAAGAGAAAGGGCACTCATCGACTCATAGGTGCTATGCATGGAACCGGGAAAAACAATTGTGCGTCTAGGTCTAGATCTCTACAGCATCCCAGCAAAAAGTATCCAAGCGTCGAGATCGAATCTTTTTAGCTTTGACTGAAGCTTTTGAAAAGCCCTGCAATGGTGTTAAGGACTTAACACTAGAGTGAACTTCTCTTGAGTTCAATGAGAGCGTCTATGCTCTGATCAAGAAGACTAGATGGATTATCTACATCCGCATGATTGATTCAACGGATCTTTGTATGAAGTTATTTTTATGGTAGAATAAAATAAGAATAAAATTTACGCAGAATGGAAATAGCTTTGGCGAGTGCAAGTTATGCAGTGAGTCCTTTGGGGAGCCCACTCTACTTAACACATTTGGTGTTTTGGTCTCAGAGACTAAAACGCTGTAGCGATGGATCAACACGAAAATCTGTCTTTGGGATTTTCGTGGTTGGGAAATCCAAATCCGTCGTTAATTTTCACTTATGAACTCACTTGTGAACCAAGCCAGTCAAAAACTTGGGTAATTAAAAGGAAATGGATACAAAGAGCGAAACTGGGTTTGGTTTCTGCCCTCTACAGAGTATCCAAAAAAGTCCCGATTTCAACTCAATTTTCTCAAAAAGGCCATTTTTTCACAAAAACTACAAAGCGTCATCTAGAAAAAACGGCTGAAGGGCTCTTCCTGCAAATTCGGCAACTTAGGTAATTGAGTGTACTCTATCTTTTTTACATAGACACCAAAGAAGGTTTATGTGCAAGAAACTGTTCAAACGATGAGTCGGACTCTTTCCCATTTTGATCAGCTGCGTTTGGAAGTTCATAAAATTCACGAAAGAAAAGCTTTGTGGAATCTCTCAAAAGTCATTTTGTAGAGAAATAGTGAATTCTTTTGATGAAAGAAAATGTATATTTAAAGAAGGCTTTATGCGTGCAAAAAGTGTCTTTAAAGTTTGGCGCCGAGTCATAGTCCCCAACCCAATATAAGTTGGATAAATGAATTGCTAGGACTTTGTCTGATGAAAATTATTAGCTGTTTGATTCGTTAAAACTCACAGCGGTTCGAACAGAATCAACGGTTGCTGGAGTATCGCTCTGTTCGGTCGCTTCCTTCACGTCGTCGCTTTCGTCCGTGTTTTGTTTTCGAGCCTTCAAAAATTAGAGTTAACGTAAATAGTGGAAATTTTTACTTCTTTCAAAGCCTTGAGACGATCGACGATTGCCTTCCAACAAAATCTAAATTTATTCATTTGTAAAAATGAGTTCCGTTGCTCACCTAAGCTGTTGTGCAGTTTGAATCAAACCCATACGACTTTTGCGCAGTTCAACAATTAGTGCCTCTGGATCGACATCCAAATCTCGTCCGGATTCAACCTACCATCATCATAAGTTACTAGTTGACAAAAAAGAAACATACCATGTGCAGAATTGAGTCACAAACAATAAAAGTCCCAGTTCTGCCAATTCCAGCAGAACAGTGTACAATTGGAGGTGAATCATCATTGGTCCGAGACAGAATACCACGCCTAAAATGATAATGGAAAATTAAAATGTCACGATTACCTTCTACAATCATCCAAAAGCTCCAGGAAGTGTTCGGTGCTTTGTGGGCATCCAAAATCGGGCCATTCGGTGTATTGCATATGATAGACTTCTCGTTCTTCACCTAAAAAACATATTGAATATCCACAGTTAACTCAAAGTTACACACTAATTCTCACTAAAAGCTACATGTCTTTAACTTACCAGTTGCAATTTTTCTCAATTTGATGCGACGAATTATGTAGTTGTCACGTTCCTGTTCATCAACCACTGACACGCGAAAAGGGTCGAATTCGAGTTCTCGTTCGCCTCCAAACGATGGGTAGTATTCAGCACATCTAAATGTTCAACATAGACTTTTCGAGTAAGACTTAATGATGGTAATTATTTGCTAGCTTAAATTTTATAAAAACTGGGTTAGAGCGCATCTATAAAGCTTTAAAAGAAGCAACTCAGGGATAGAAATTTTGTTGACTATTTAACTTTTGGTTATTCATAAACAGACAAGAGGTCGAATATTTAAAATGACCAAAACATGCCCAAAAACCAACAAGAAGCTAATTTACTAACCCTGCTGGAGGCAAGTGATAGCCATCCCTAAATTGTTTTTTGGTCACCAACATTCACAAATTTTACTTCAAATGTCCTTTCTCGATGATTTTGTTGAGCATGATGATTCCAGGAGATTCAACCTAAAAATTTATATATTAACAAAAACAGACACAATGCTTTTTTCAGTTTTTCAGGCCAAAAAGAATTTTTAAAACACAGTAACACTGCTCGGTGGTGCTCTTTGAAGAGAGCTCACCTCGACTGGCCGAGTACAGTTTCGCGATGTGTTTCGCCGTCTTATCGTCATCGGGTGGGAGAATGTCGAGTTTGAGCAAATCCGGCTTGGGCAAAGCGAGGATTTATTAGAAACAATACAAAAAAACCAAACGGGAAACAAAATCAACACAAGCCACGTATATACAGTCGCGGACATAATTTTGGAAACTTTTGTTTTTTCTAAAAAAAATTTCCTAGTAAAAGTTGATTCGGTATATTTACTAGCGAAAATATGTAGGCATAAAAAGCACGTAATAATCCATAGACAGAACTTCTGAACATTTTGAAAACTATTATTTTTAATGCATTTATCTGTAAACCCAGCGGACATAAATTTGGAAACTTTTAAAAACAACTCTAAATAATGACGTAACAAACCATTAAACTTCTAAAGTACAACAAAAACAAATAAATCAATTTAATACTTTGTGGGAAATCCTTTAAAATCAATGACAGCCTGGCACCGAGCACTCATCGAGGCGATCAAGTTGTCGATGGTTGTTGTTGGAATTTTCATCCATTTCTTAGCCAAAAGCTCGAATTTTTCATTAAGAGTATACCACTTAACGCCTTTACAGCCTCTCTTCAGAGCTTCCCATAGATGTTCAATAGGGTTTAAATCAGGATTCTGGCTCGGCCATTCCATAAGATTAATTCCTTCCTTCTGAAACCAGTCCTTTACAAGCCGCGAAGTATGTTTCGGATCATTGTCCTGTTGAAAAAGAAAGTTGGAAGGCATCAACTGGAGAGCATTTGGAAGCATATGTTTCGATAAAATGTCCAAGTAAACATGTCTGTCCATATTTCCATCAATGCGTTTTAATGGGATCATTCCGTAAGCTGAAAAGCCGCCCCATACAAGGACACTACCACCGCCGTGCTTCAAAGTTGGAATTACGTATCGTTTACCGAACCTTTCGTTGATAGGACGACGAACATATCGAATGCCATCAGATCCAAACAATTCGAACTTACTTTCGTCGGAAAAGAGGCAAAGAGACCATTGTTGAGCCGTCCAATATCGATGCTCTTCTGCGAATTTGACCCGAAGCTTGCGATTCTTTGCAGAGATCAGTGGCTTATGAGCAGGACGTCGACCAAATAATCCAAATTCGCGTAAACGACGTTGTACTGTCTTTGAACTAATTTCCTTTCTGACTTTATGAGGCAAATCGGCATAAATCTCGATCGATGACTTATTTGGGTCAGCCTTTGAAAGAATTTTCATCCGCAAATCATCTCGTTTTTTCGTCTTTCTGTGTCTTCCTGTATGCTTATGAGCATTTGCTGATCCAGTTCGAGCGTATCTTTTTAAAATCTTTGATACAGTACTCTTTGAAAGGCCAAGAGATCGAGCGATAAATGTCTGCTTCTGTCCATTTTGGTGCATTCGTACAACATCTTCGCGTTTCTCCGTTGAAGTCTCTTTCTTGCTGCCCATCTATAAAAAAAAGTTAAAATAAATAGTAGAGGCTTAAAAAGATAAAAATAGAACAAAAAGGTAATATACTTGAGATTTTTATGAAAGTTTCCAAATTTATGTCCTCTGAGTTTACAGATAAATGCATTAAAAATAACAGTTTTCAAGAAGTTCAGAAGTTCTGTCTATGGATTATTACGTGCTTTTTATGCCTAAATATTTTTGCTAGTAAATATACCGAATCAGCTTTTACTAGGAAAATTTTTTTAGAAAAAACAAAAGTTTCCAAAATTATGTCCGCCACTGTACATACAAAAAAATACATCAAAAACTTAAAAATTAAAACCTCCAACCTGCCAGCACATCAACCAGAAGGCGTGACATGTGTTCTCAAGTGGTCCCTAAACGATAATATGCCGTTTAAATCTTTACTCTTTACTAACCTGTGACAAAATATAACGACGCTCCGTTCCGGGCACCGTAACATATGAAGCGTTGATGTAGTCGGATTCATCTTCAGGCACATCGTGAAGGTGGATGCGAGAATGATCCCCTAAATAAAGAATATAAGTACGTTTAGGATAAGAATAAATCTTATATTCACAAAAGCTTACATGGTGCTGCATCTCGGTAGCGATTCTTTCGTGCATTTTGAATTGAGCGGGCTGCTTTACACGTCAACTTCAGAGAACGCTCTTGCCGATTTGATTTAGCTAGCAGACGCTAAAAATGTCAGATAAATATAAACATTTAAAAATGGAACCGTTTTAATGGTATTGTTTTAATGGTATTGTTTTAATGGTACTGTTTTACTGTACTGTTTAATGTTTTAATACTGTTTTATTACCCCTGGTACTGTTTTAATAAAAAGACAGTTATTTACCTGATAAATGTTATCCCATGAACCATTCTTCTCGTACTGCTCGAATTTGTTTATCAAGAAATCGCGGGCCAATTGAGCTAAACGACAAAGTAATTAGGTAATAAGCTTACCTTTTTATTAAGCAATCAAAAGTTATAACCGTTTTAAGTTATTAAAGCTGGCTAAATAAAAACTTACTCATTCCTGCCTGGCGCTCGACTTTTCCGTAGCTGCTGCTCACCCTCGATTGGCACAACCCTCAAGTTTGTCAAAAGTCTGTTTGTCAGTTTGTCAAAAAGCTCAAGAAAGGGCTGGTGCTAGGCGTGAACTTTTCTCGACTCGTCCGGCCACAGTTCTTCCCAAAAAAGGGTGGAAGATGATCCACAGGTTAGGAGTTTTCTTACGCGAAACCTTAGATCATGATATTGTGAATACTTTGATACTCTGAAAAATACTCTCGAAAACCCTTTGCTATAAGGGCTTTGCTTAGATACAAAAATGCTCTGGAAGAAAAACGCAAGGTAATTTTGGGGTGTGAGTGAAGGGGAAGGATAGGGCGAGGACACCCTCCACTTCCATTCGATTCTCTCCGAAAAAAAATGGAGCCCGATAGCTGCTTGGGTAAGAGAAAGGGCACTCATCGACTCATAGGTGCTATGCATGGAACCGGGAAAAACAATTGTGCGTCTAGGTCTAGATCTCTACAGCATCCCAGCAAAAAGTATCCAAGCGTCGAGATCGAATCTTTTTAGCTTTGACTGAAGCTTTTGAAAAGCCCTGCAATGGTGTTAAGGACTTAACACTAGAGTGAACTTCTCTTGAGTTCAATGAGAGCGTCTATGCTCTGATCAAGAAGACTAGATGGATTATCTACATCCGCATGATTGATTCAACGGATCTTTGTATGAAGTTATTTTTATGGTAGAATAAAATAAGAATAAAATTTACGCAGAATGGAAATAGCTTTGGCGAGTGCAAGTTATGCAGTGAGTCCTTTGGGGAGCCCACTCTACTTAACACATTTGGTGTTTTGGTCTCAGAGACTAAAACGCTGTAGCGATGGATCAACACGAAAATCTGTCTTTGGGATTTTCGTGGTTGGGAAATCCAAATCCGTCGTTAATTTTCACTTATGAACCCACTTGTGAACCAAGCCAGTCAAAAACTTGGGTAATTAAAAGGAAATGGATACAAAGAGCGAAACTGGGTTTGGTTTCTGCCCTCTACAGAGTATCCAAAAAGTCCCGATTTCAACTCAATTTTCTCAAAAAGTTTAAGTGGCTCAAGGTGGTGTCGAAGCTGTTTTTTGACTTTTACTTTATTTTTCACACGTGATTGGCATAAAAATCCAATCTATCAAAAGGACTAATTCCAGAATCCTTCTGCACCAATTGACTATTCATCCTCATCTCTTGACGCATCACCAGAAACTTCTACTTCCTCAAAAGAAGAAAAACCTCAAATGTCTAATGTTATCAAAATCGGAAACTCATTGATAGAAATGGCTCAATTTAGTAAAAGAAAAGAAATTTTCAGCCTCGAATATTCCAAACTATCGATTGAGCAAAAAAGAAAGTTCAAAGAGAAGAGCGATCGAGATCTGAAAAACATCAAACAGCCAACTGTTTATAGCGATAATCTTTACGAATCTTTGCAAGGAAAGGAAAAGCCGGGAAGTGTTGAAGAAATTTTTGATGATATAAAGAATTTGCATCTTCGAGCCCAGCTTGATGAATTTTTCGATGCGTTTGTCCTCATCGAACGGGTGAAGAGAACCCATTTCGAATTCAGTCTTTTGTATCAACAATTAGCCGAATGTCTCGAAAGATTGAGGCCGTTTAAGGATTCAATCTATACGAGGCGAATACAGTTTAATTGTTATTTTTCAACGTCAGACAAAGAAAGCTGGTTATTACTAAAGCAAATCGATGCGAATACCTGCTACCTCACTAGATTTATAAAAAAGGATTTGAGCACCGTGAAATATCTTTTTGGGGAAAGAATCGATGGTTTTTCTGAGGATGCGCTGCTTGTCAACAAGAGATTTCTCGAGCATGAAGTGAAAACAATTCGGGAAACCCTCCAAGATAACGAACCCAACTTGGTCTCAGTTTTCGAAAAAGAGCTCGATGAACAAGAGTTGGTGCGAACTGAGATACTCGAAAAGTTTTCCGATTACGAAGAGCTGATATTGAAAAACCGGGAAACTGTCGATGTGCTACAGGTGATCAGAGCGGTGGAGGAGGCGAAAAGGGCAATCGACTCACGATTTGACACCCAAAGCAAAAGCAAAAGGAAAGTCGAGAGACCCCTTTTCAGCCACTCGAATTTTTTTCGATTGCGGAATCCTCAAAGCCCATCTCACCAATGCTTAAATCGAGAAGAATGCAAAAAAATTGATTTTCCCGAAGATCTCCACTTGTGCCCGTCAAAAGCAAAACTTTTCTATTACGAGTGTACACCTGCTCAAGAAGTTTCCTTAATGAAACGTCGATTTACTTTTTCCCAACTTTTCAACGAGCTTTCTGAATTCAAATCGCCCCTAAGAGAACTAAAAGTTAAAGCGGAAGACATGCAATTATCGGATTTACATCAGAAAGAAAGCCTTCTGTTTCTTACTTATCCTCTAGCAAAAGCCTCCGAGAAAGAGTTTGTCGTTTTGCTGGACGATCCATTTGCTTATGCATCCGGTGAACGAATTTCGTGCTTTGATCGACGGCTAAAGTTTTACACTATTGATGCAAAGATTTGTCAAGACTTCTATAAAGAATTTGGTTTGAAATTTATGCTTAGAATCGACATGAACTTGAATGCCTGGAGAATTAATTACTAAAAGCTTTCTTGCTGAAAAATAAAGTATTTAGAAAAAATAAGTTTCTTTCACCTTTTGGGCAAATATCCAAATTTGTGTATTTGTTATTATTTGCTAAAGTAACTTGTCCAAACTGCTAACAATAGCTCTTTTAAGCATAGTAAAGTAACCATTTCTTATGAAGATAAGAAAACCTAATTGTAAACAAAGATATTCCGTATAAATATAATTATAGCTTTGTTTTAATCGGTTTAGAATGAATTTGCAAAGAGATTTCACTCGGCTATTTGCAAACGACGACTACCAAAGAGAGGAACTTGGCACCGGAGGTCTAGCTGTTGTCAACAAGCTTTGGCACTACCCGTAAACTTTTCAAACCATAATCTCAAAAATCTTTTTCAAACATCTTTAAAAACCATTGATAGGTCAACTTTCATCGGCTTCTTTAGAGCTGCTGTTCTCAAATGTGCAAAGTATGAAGATGAATATGGAGGAGAGCTGGTTCAAAAAGTGAAAGACGAACGAAAAGAGAGGATCAAATGTGAGTCGGAGGCATTAAGAACCCTGCAACATCCGAATATCGTCTCCCATTTCGGATTCTCCACTTGCAATAATGACTTTGCGTTTATCAAGGAACATTGCGAACGTGGTGACCTGGCATCTTGTGCGTTTGTTTGGCGAATGTTTTGTGAGAATCTGAAGAGATGAAAAATCTTTTCAGTAACACACACGTCGCCTTTCCACTCCAAGTCGTCATTCTTTGGGCTGTTGAGCTTTTCGATGCTCTTGCCTACCTCCATCATCGATATATTGTACACCGTGACGTCAAACCTAATAAGTTTGAGTTTTCTTAATGAGAAATTCAACAGATTCTAGCATTTTGGTCACCAAGGTTTTCTCAGTAAAACTCGGCGATTTTGATTGCACAACAATTTCGGCGGACTTTTTGCGGAAGGCTGCAGTCGGGACGGAAAGGTACAAAGCTCCACATCAAAGCCGGGAAAAATCTCCACAAGTAAACTGCTTTTACCTTTATACTCTAGCCAACATTGCAGAATTCACCAAAAAATGACGTCTACAGCATGGGACTCGTTATTCGAGAACTCGTTCAAAGAAGGTTAATGAACCCATAAACTTTACTATTTAGGCGAAAGTTGCAAAAGATTTTATGATGAACTCGCCAATGCGGCAGTGCCCTATGAGCTAAACGACCTTGTTGTTAAACAACAAAAGCCGGAGATCTCCGAATTAGCTTCAAACTCTGAGCTGCGTGATCTTTTAGAGAGGCGGGTCAACAAATAGAAAATATTACAGACGGTTCACCTTTATACGTTTTTCTAAATTTTCAGATGCATTCGATTTGAGAAAAACGACGCCCGATCTCGGCGTGGCTGAAAAAAGAGACTATTGAAACTGCAGGTGATTAAGAACTTTTTAGCCAAGAAATAAAGAAACTTTCAGGAAGCTTTCAACCAAGAAGACAATGTTTTGGTTATTGATTTAAGATTAACACAGCCAGTCTTGCCAACACATTTTGACGTCTACAGCATGGGACTCGTTATTCGAGAGCTCGTCCGAAGAATGTTAATGAACCCATAAACTTTACTATTTAAGCGAAAGTTGCAGAAAATTTTATGATAATGTGCCCGATGTGCCCTCAGAGCTAAACCATCTTGTTGTTGTCGAACGAAAGCTGGAGATCTCGGAATTAGCTTCAAACCCCGAGCTGCGTGATCTTTTAGAGAGGCGGGTCAACAAATAAAAAATATTACATGACAATTGCAACATTACAAATATCTTATAAGTTGTTCTAAATTTTCAGATGCATTCAATTTGAGAAAAAACAGCGGCCAACCTCGGCGTGGGTGAAAAAGAGACTATTGAAGTTGCAGGTGATTAAGAGTTTTTAGCCAAGAAGTAAATAAACTTTCAGGAAGCTTTCAAGCAAAAAGACAATGTTTTGGTTATTGAATCAATGGAACTTGAATCAAGTTTAACACAGCCAGTCTGGCCAATAAATCTTTCAAGGTCAGCAAACGCTTCGACAAACGGGCACCCACCTAAAATTCACAAAGTCGGAGAGGCCCACGAGAAGAAGGCTCTAGAAGTGGCTGCCATTCAAACTCATCTCGGTAATGCGAAAAGGAACTACGAAAAGAAATTGAGAGTGCTGACGGCTGGAAAAACACAAAGTTTTAATCTCAAGAAGCCCGAAATCGAAAAAGGCAAACGATTAGAGCACTCGATCTTTCAAGGATTTGATTAGCATCGAGGGAGGATCGTCGACCGAAGTGAAATCCTCAACGAAAGCATAGACGATCTCTACAAGGATTTCCTCGATTGGAAAATCTATCAGCATCTCCACGAGAGAACCAACGACATTTTTCGAC